GAGAGCGGAACCGTGAATGGTACGGGACCTTTAAGTACGTCCTTGTGTATGAATTTAGTACTTCTCAATTGGCGACGAACGCGTCCAACGCAGTCCCCATCGGACCGGGGGTTGGCGCATAGCTATCGCCACCGCCGCCGCCGCCGCCGTTTAGCTCGCCGGTGGCTCGATAGGCCGCGAAGATATGGTCCCAGATCGCTGCGGGCGGGCGCCGCTGCAGAATGATGATGAGGGAGACAGTCAGAGAGGATAATAACCTGCGGATCCCCTGTGAACTGTTGCTGCCGTGTCCGGCTTCCAAGAAATATGAAATCGATGGTTTTTACTTAGTGTCTCTCTCCCTCTCTCCGTGTAAATAGCGACGACTTGGGCTCCATCGGGTGCCGGTCATACCTCGAGGCTCCTTTAAATGAGGCAGCCGGAGCCACTGCAAGTACCAGTCCATCTCTTTTTCAAGCCCACTTCCCGAGCAAAAAGGCAAGGCTTCTTTCCCACGTTTCAGTCTGCGACGACGGATGGGTTTGATGAAGGTCGTCCCCTTCCGGAGGGTGACCTACGGCTGCCTCGCCGGCCTACTCGCCTCGTTCCTACTCTTCTTCTTCTTCTCCGCCGGCGGCGAAGGCAATCTCAACGTCGCCGCTGCTTACTCCCCTTCTAACCTTCTTTCATGGTTCCTACCGGCGCCGCACGATGGATCGGGTTGGCTCGATCCGACAGGCTCCCGCCCGAAGAAGAAAGGCGTCGGTCGGAGAGGAAACAGAAGCTCCGGTCGTAGCCAGTCGGAGAAATCCCATGAGGCTTTGGAGACTCACCGTCTTCAGGGAAGCTGCGATATCTTCAGCGGCCGATGGATCAGAGATGACAGAAAGCCTCTCTACGATCCGGGCTCTTGCCCCATCGTCGATCCGACCTTCAGCTGCCACGAGAATGGAAGACCTGATCAGGAGTTCTTGAATTGGCGTTGGCAGCCCAACGACTGCGACATCCCGAGGTACGGTCTTGTCCCAGAGTACGGAAGAATCAGATGGGTAGATTGATACAAGAGATTTTATCTTATTTCCAAGCTGCTGTTTCTGGGGATAATTTTCTCATTCGCTGGATTTGGGTAGGTTGAATGCGAAAGATTTTCTGCAGAAATTAAGGGGTCAGAGGTTGGTTTTCGTCGGCGACTCTTTGAACCGAAACATGTGGGAGTCTCTGGTCTGCATCCTTCGGAACGGGCTCAACGAGAGCAGAGTTTATGAAGAATCAGGGACCAACGACTTCAAGGCGAGCGAGCACATCTCCTTCCGATTCATGGTAGGCTCGACGAATCTCTCGAAGGCGTTATCTTCCGCTGAATCTCCTTCTCACGCCATTGCTGTCTCTTTCTAGGATTATAATTGCTCTGTTGAGCTCGTGAGGTCGCCCTACCTGGTGAGAGTGGTCCACACCAAGGCTGCCAATGGGGAGAGGATCGAGAGGCTTAGCTTGGACCTCATGGAAAAAGCGTCCGGCTCTTACCGGGACGCGGACATCATCATCTTCAACACTGGGCACTGGTGGAATCACGTCAAGACAAAGCTAGGGTAAGCGTTCAATCTTTTCGTTCATCGAGCTCCATTTCTATGATTCTGGCTCAAGTTCACTCTCTCTCCGTCTCTCTCGCCGTATGGATGACAGAGTTGATTATTATCAAGAAGGCGGCCATGTGTACCCAGTGCTTCCGGTAATGGCGGCATATAAGAAAGCCTTGTCGACCTGGGCGAGATGGATCGACGAGAATATCGACCCCAACAAGACTCAGGTCGTCTTCAGAGGCATCTCTCCTTCTCATTTCCGGTAATGTACCCACAACTCTCTCTCTCTCTCTCTCTCTCTCTCTCTCTCGCGCGCGCGCGCGCGCGCTAAGGATGATTATTTGATACTGGGTTTCATGCATCTGCTTCTGATCTTCAGAGGGGGGAACTGGAACACGGGAGGGCGCTGCCATGGGGAGAGGGAGCCGATCTTCAACGAGACCTTTCTGAGGAGGAAACCGGTGCCGAAGTTGAAGGCGCTGAAGCCGGTGTTTGACCAGATGAAGACGCCGGTGATCTTCCTCAACATCAGTCGCCTAACGGAGTTCAGGAAGGACGCGCATCCGTCGATCTACGGGATGAAGTACGCGTCGGCGGCGGAGGCGGTCAACGCGGTGGAGACACAAGACTGCAGCCACTGGTGCCTGCCAGGGTTGCCCGACACGTGGAACGAGCTGCTCTACGCGTCTCTCTTGATGGCGGGTAGGGGAACCTGGAAGAGCTAGATAGGGCTCGCCGACGGCGGCGGCGCTAGCTGTAAGTATGAGATTTACGCAGGAGATGATGGTCTATTTTCTTCTATCATTGTTCCTTGCCGAAAAGAGCCACATTTTTTTTGTAAAGCATGAGAAATATTGTAGACACGTGGTCCGTGTTGAAAGGGATTAATGTTTGTATGAAGGGCGGCGGATTATATATATTTATATATTTCTCTCTCCTCTCCCTTCTCTTTCTATAGGATGATCAATTCATACAGGTGGAGCCTACGTAATTCTGATAGAGCTCTCTCTCTCTCTCTCTCTCTCTCTCTCTCTCTCGGTCTCGTGGGTGTGACACAGCATGTTAGCTCTGATATTCATCCACGTGCGTAGTTGTTCTATCTCTCTCTCTGTAAAGACAAGCGTATCTGTAAATCATATACCCTCTGATCCAAGGGGGAGAGGGAAGGGAGGGACCTCAGTGGGCCGCTCGCCACACCATGAATGAGCTATAACTGGAGGATATCCGATCAGAACTGCAGATACGTGATTGATGGGGAACGTCTGAGCTTTAGAATGGTCCAGGCTGGAATCTTCTGGATCATCATCCAGAACATCAGATGCCCAGCGGCAAGTCCCCATCACTTCTGCTCCCCTCTTTCATGACACAACCCCGCGAATCCCCTCGTCACCGGGGCTGGAGAGAGCTGTAGGAGACGGCCGCAATGGACGAGCCGGAGGAGGACGAGCTCCGGCGAGCTCGGGGGTTCCTCTCCCCCGCACCGTCGTCTGCGAACGGCGGCGCCGGCGGCAGCGGGAGCCGCCTTCCTTTCCCAGGAGCTGTAGCGGGGGGGCCTCCTGGGTGCACAGGCCTGCCCACCATTAATTACTTCACTGGCTTACCACAATCTCGAAGAAAACTAATGGGTACCCAGGGGTCGAGAAGGGACAAAGAAGGAAGCACTCTGATCGAAACGATAGGATGAGTATAAACCTTCGATCGGTCGGAACCTCTTAGAGAGACTGGTTCGCCGAACGAACGAGACCAACACCGACTTCACGACTACTAAGAGGGAAAGAAAACCTAGGGATTCGACTCGCAGGTGACGTCCCCCAGGAATGGTGGGTGGTGGCCGCTTCGAAAAAGCCGGTCCGACACTCCAGATGATTGCCCTTCTCCTTGGGCCTAGGGTTGTTTAATAGGACCGGCCGTTCCCTGGTCTCGGCGTATGAGGCGCCCTACCCTTCTGCTCCTGTGCCTCGAGCTTTGGCCTCCAACGGTTCGCTGCCATCATCAGGATCCAGCCTCTTCGAGAAGGCTGTTTTGACCGTTCCGCCCGGGGTTTGAGGGACCTCTTTCCACGTGGATTCCCTCGGGCCGCGGGGGCCTCAACAAAAACCCACGAGATTTATCAGTTTGGTGGTCGCGAGGAAGGAGAGTGGGACGAGGCGGTACGGAAGAGAAGCCGGTCGAGACTCTGGTTGGGGAGGTATTCGTAGACGAGGAGGTTCTCCGGGCCTGATCAGCTGCAACCCAGCAATCTGACCAGGTTCTCGTGCTCCAGGCTGCTGATGATGTTGGCCTCGTTGAAGAAATCGGAGACGTGTGGCCGTTTGTCGATGAACAGCCTCTTCACTGCGATCTCCCTTCCATCCGCCAAAACTCCCTCTCAATGGCGACGGCGATTCCTCAGAAGGGCAAGAGTGGAAGATGTCCGACGAAATGGCAGGAGGATCCTATGCTTCGACAGAGAATTTCAGAGGTCGAGAATCGTCTCCTCCATGGACAACCTTGTAGACGGCCCCAAATCCTCCCTGTCCGAGCTTGTTGGACTCGGAGAGATGTCCGGTGGCCTTTTCCAGGGTGGAATACTTGAAGTCGATGCATGTTGTATAAAGAAGGGAGGCGATCTTCGCCGCTTCCTCCATCTCTGCGGATTGGAAACCACGTCAGTCTAAGAAAAACACAAAGCTACGACGGAAACATTAGATGATAGATAAGGCCCCACCCCTCTTCTGGTTCATGTTCTTCCTGCAGATCCTGATCAGAATGACGGCGAACAGCGCGAGCGCTAGGATTGCGAGAGGAGTTGCGATTATAGCCGTCTTGTTGGCTGCAAGGAAGAATAAGGAGATGGGTGTTAGGGTTTCCAGGGGGAACCTCGGATGGAAGCTCATGGGGGTGACCAATCTGCGAACCTTCGGCACTCCCGCCCTCTTCCGCTCCGCCGAGGAAGTTGGCATCGGAGTAGCGGAGGAAGCAACCCGTGTGGGGAGCCCTTCCCTCCGACCACGGCAAGCAGCTGGTCACCGACGCCAGGGCGCTCTCCAGGCACGCGCTGCAGGAGCTCTCGTTCAGCGACCTCCAGCAGTCCACCAGCACGTACACCGGCTCGCCGCCGGGGACCGAAACGGTGGCGTTTCCACCGGCCGGCGGCGCCGCCGTGACGGCCCGCCGCACGGCCTCCCGCGCTGCCCTCTCGAATTCGGCATGATAAATTATTCAACAAAGATGAGATGTAAATCGTATTCATCTATACATTCGTCACACAGAATTCACATTCGCATAAATATATTCTACAATGCTAGCAGAAATATTCACACATTCATAGTGCATACAATCATCAAAGATAGGCATGTAAGTGAACATTATGACAGTAAATAAACAAACATTTAAAATAGTCATATAGACATGATCAGACCATAGCTAATATTTATTAAGACATAGATAATCCTCACCAAAATGAGTGCTCCCTCTAAGTTTATGCACTCTTTTTTTTTTTGTCATTTTCACTATTTTTCTCCACCTTTTTGTAAATATAAAAAAACAGATAAACAAATGAAGTATGGGAGAATAGTTATCAATGCAAATATTTGACTCCGAAATCGCGTCTTCGAGTTCTCGAACTCGTTCTTCCATTGACTGGAGTTGTTGCTCCACTTGTTCCAAGCTCTTGCTGAATTTTTTTCAACAATTGGTAGGATGTCAAAGAATGTTAGAACATGATAGGAGGATGTTGAAATGAAATGGGGATGATGTGGCCACTAACCACCAACTTGAAGATAATTTATTCAATGAAGAGTGAATTCATTAATTAAATCATGAGGATAGCTACTGATAGATGAATTATTCAATAGATGTGTTTAAATTAAAGTGTCAAAAGATGATGACAAGAGGAAGAGTAAGATCATACTTGAGGATTGTCCTCTTCTATTATAAGAAGAGTGAATCAAAGTCAAGATGAATGTCATTGATAATAAAATATAAAATAGATGCAAACTTATTATCAATTCTATTCAATGCACCTCTTTTCCGTTATATGAGATGGTCATTGAGAAAGTGCAAGATTCGATAAGGCATTAGAGGATGTAATGTCTTGGTATTTTTAATGTTCTGCTTTATATCCTAATCAGTATTTACATTAAATTATTTATTTAATATAATTCCGTCAACATTGAGTGAAGATCTAAATGGTAAATTAAGGATTACACTCAGAATCTGGGGAGTAAGATTAACAACCAGGATTCCTTTGATGCATGCAGGAGATTCAGATTTCAACGGCATCACCGAAAACGGAGGAAAGCAATGAACTGCCTTGTCGACAAAACATTGGAGACGACGTGACCTTCCACCGGCATCACGGAAGATATGGCATAGACTGAGACGTTAGGGCAGAAACGAAGCCCGAAGGGAAGAAGATAAGATAGAACGAGGAGACGGAGACGGACAGAGTGGGAGATAATAAGGGGAAGAAAACAGTGGGCAGATGTAGCCCAATGGACTTGATTTCCCGATGTGGCAGAAAAGTGGGCCCGCTCAAATCCCGGCGATGGAAGCAGATGATATCACAGTGGGACCACTCAGATCCCAGCGTCCGTCGCTGGGCTAGCTTGGGATGCTTTCAGGGCCCAACCCAAACGTCCCGCAGAGAGACAGCCGTAGAAAATGACTAGGAATCCTCTGTTCTCCGCCAACCCAAACGCTGGTTGGGAAAATAATGAAGGTTTCCAGTTTTAAATAACCACCGCGGCACGTTTCCTAGTGGACCGTGTTTTCCCGCATCTGTACGTTTGACCGACTCCGTACAAAGTTCAGAAAAGGGAAAAAGTCAGAGGGTTATGCGCCACTAGTTACCAGGCACAGACGACTCAACGGTTGCTGGTGGGTTTGACCACCGGGAACTTAATAATGTTAATCTCAAGTCGGCATCATTATAGGAATATAATAATGCCAATTCAACGAGGCTAAACGTTCGCCTGAGCCCACACATAAGGAAGACTTGTGGGCGGCGACAAGAAGTTTACTCGTCGAGAATGTCTTCAGCGTCGTCAGCCTCCCCACGGCGGACGGCGGACGGCGGACGGCGGAGCCGTGAAGGGTACGGGAGCCTCTGGTACGTTCTTGAGTATGAATTTATGTACTTGTTTGTTGACCGACGAACACGTCCAACGCGGGCCCCATCGGACGGCGGCGGTGGCGCGTAACTCTCGCCGTCGCCGCCGTTTACCGCGCTGGTGGCTTGATAGGGCGGGAAGTTATGGTCCCAGATCGCTGCGGCGGCGGGCGCCGCTGCGGGGTGAAGATAGAGAGAGAGAGAGAGAGAGAGAGAGAGAGAGAGAGAGAGAGAGAGAAAGAGAATAAGAACCTGCGGACCTCCTGTGAACAGTTGCTCCCGTGTTCATCCTCCCGCTGCGGGGTGTTTACTTTTTCTCTCTCTCTCAATCCAAATAGCGAAGACTTGGGGTTCCATCGATTGGCTGCCGGTCATTCCCCGAGGCTTGTTTAAAGGAGGCCCACGGAGCAACTATGAATCTCAGCCCATCTTCCCGAGAGAGGGGGAGAGCCAGAAAAGAGAAAGCCAGCTGATTTTGCCGAATCTTCTCTGGGTAGCCGCCGTCTCTCCCATCTTTCAGTCTGCAGCGACGGATGGGTTTGACGACGGTCGCCCCTTCAGGGAACCTCTCCCTCTTCGTCCCCTTTCGGAGAGTGACCTACGGCTGCGTCGCCGGTCTACTCGCCTCGTCCCTGATCTTCTTCTTCTTCTCCTCCGGCCGCGACGGCAATCCCAACGTCATCGCCGCTTACTCCCCTTCTAATCTGCTTTCATGGTTCCTACCAGCGCCACCGAATAACGGGTCGGGTCAGCTCGATCTGACGAAGAAGAAAGGCATCTCTTGGAGAGGGAACAGAAGCTCCGGTCATGGTCAGTCGGAGGAATCCCATAAGGCTGTGGACATTCACCGTCTTCAGAAAAGCTGCGACATCTTCAGCGGCCGGTGGATCAGAGATGACAGAAAGCCTCTCTACGATCCGGGCTCTTGCCCCATCGTCGATCCGACCTTCAGCTGCCACGAGAATGGAAGACCTGATCAGGAGTTCTTGAATTGGCGTTGGCAGCCCAACGACTGCGACATCCCGAGGTACGGTCTTGTCCCAGAGTACGGAAGAATCAGATGGGTAGATTGATACAAGAGATTTTATCTTATTCCCAAGCTGCTGTTTCTGGGGCTAATTTTCTCATTCGCTGGATTTGGGTAGGTTGAATGCGAAAGATTTTCTGCAGAAATTAAGGGGTCAGAGGTTGGTTTTCGTCGGCGACTCGTTGAGCCGAAACATGTGGGAGTCTCTGGTCTGCATCCTTCGGAACGGGCTCAACGAGAGCAGAGTTTATGAAGAATCAGGGACCAACGACTTCAAGGCGAGCGAGCACGTCTCCTTCCGATTCATGGTAGGCTCGACGAATCTCTCGAAGGCGTTATCTTCCGCTGAATCTCCTTCTCACGCCATTGCTGTCTCTTTCTAGGATTATAATTGCTCTGTGGAGCTCGTGAGGTCGCCCTACCTGGTGAGAGTGGTCCACACCAAGGCTGCCAATGGGGAGAGGATCGAGAGGCTTAGCTTGGACCTCATGGAAGAAGCGTCCGGCTCTTACCGGGACGCGGACATCATCATCTTCAACACTGGGCACTGGTGGAATCACGTCAAGACAAAGCTAGGGTAAGCGTTCAATCTTTTCGTTCATCGAGCTCCATTTCTATGATTCTGGCTCAAGTTCACTCTCTCTCCGTCTCTCTCGCCGTATGGATGACAGAGTTGATTATTATCAAGAAGGCGGCCATGTGTACCCAGTGCTTCCGGTAATGGCGGCATATAAGAAAGCCTTGTCGACCTGGGCGAGATGGGTCGACGAGAATATCGACCCCAACAAGACTCAGGTCGTCTTCAGAGGCATCTCTCCTTCTCATTTCCGGTAATGTACCCACAACTCTCTCTCTCTCTCTCTCTCTCTCTCGCGCGCGCGCGCGCGCTAAGGATGATTATTTGATACTGGGTTCCATGCATCTGCTTCTGATCTTCAGAGGGGGGAACTGGAACACGGGAGGGCGCTGCCATGGGGAGAGGGAGCCGATCTTCAACGAGACCTTTCTGAGGAGGAAACCGGTGCCGAAGTTGAAGGCGCTGAAGCCGGTGTTTGACCAGATGAAGACGCCGGTGATCTTCCTCAACATCAGTCGCCTAACGGAGTTCAGGAAGGACGCGCACCCGTCGATCTACGGGATGAAGTACGCGTCGGCGGCGGAGGCGGTCAACGCGGTGGAGACACAAGACTGCAGCCACTGGTGCTTGCCAGGGTTGCCCGACACGTGGAACGAGCTGCTCTACGCGTCTCTCTTGATGGCGGGTAGGGGAACCTGGAAGAGCTAGATAGGGCTCGCCGACGGCGGCGGCGCTAGCTGTAGGTATGAGATTTACGCAGGAGATGATGGTCTATTTTCTTCTATCATTGTTCCTTGCCGAAAAGAGCCACATTTTTTTTGTAAAGCATGAGAAATATTGTAGACACGTGGTCCGTGTTGAAAGGGATTAATGGTTGTATGAAGGGCGGCGGATTATATATATTTCCTCACTCTATTGAATGATCAGTGCGTACGGGTGGAGCATACATAATTCTGATACAGCTCTCTGTCTTGTGAGTGTGACACAGCATGTTAGCTCTGATTCTCATGTAAATGCGTAGTTACTCTCTCTTTCTCTCTCTCTCAGTTGTAAAGATAAGCGTATCTGTACATTCTATATCCTCTGAGAGAAGAGGGAGAGGGAAGGGAGGGACTGCAGTGGACCACTCGCATCACCTTGAATGAGTTATAAATGGAGGAAATATGAACAGAACTGTATAATGGTCCAGGCTGGGACCTTCTCGATCATCATCCTGAAGATCAGATCCCCCGAGGCAAGTCCCCATCAGTTCTTCCCTCTCCTTCATGGCACAACCCCGCGAATGCTCTCCTCACCGTGGCTGAAGAGAGCTGTAGGAAACGGCCGCAATGAATGAGCCGGAGGAGGACGGGCTCCGGCGAACTAGGGGGTTCCTCTCCGCCGCGCCATCGTCTGCGAACGGCGGCGGCGCCGGCAGCGGAAGCCGCTCTTCTTTTCCCAGGAGCATTTGGAGGGCGCGGGAGGCCGATGGCCGTAGCGGGGGGCTCTCCTGGGTGCACAGGTGGGCCACGTGGGCTACCCTCATTATCTCCCCTCTGGGGTCGGCGGCGCCGCCTTCACCGACGGCGGCAGTGTGGGGCAGGAGTGTTGGGTCGATCAGCTCCTCCGTTCTCCCCATCTGGAATCTCTTCCAGGCCTGCCCACCATTAATTACTTCACTGGATTACCACAATCTCGAAGAAAACCCGGCAGATTTATCAGTTTGTTGGGCGCCCCGAGGCTTACCGAAATCAGGAGGCAGTCTAGGGTTCCGGTGGTTTCCCCCCTCCTGTTCGGTCTCCCTGTCACGATCTCCAGGAGGAGCACGCCGAAGCTGTAGACGTCCACCTTCTCCGTCAGCTGCCCGTGGGCAACGTACTCCGGTGCCATGTATCCTCTGTTTTGCAGAGTAATCAATGGTTATTCTAGTCCCTTTCTGGTGCGATGGATTGAGAAAATTGTAGGGGAAGGGAGATTCCCGACATAGTTCCGGCGATGCCGGTATTGAGGTGGGTCTGATCATAGTGAAAAGCCCTAGCCAGGCCAAAGTCTGCGATCTTGGGGCGTAGCTTGCAGTCCAGGAGGATGTTGCTGGCCTTGATGTCCCTGTGGATGATCCTGGTTTTCTGGTTCTCGTGGAGGTAGGTCAGGCCGCGGGCCACCCCCACGATAATCCCGAATCTCTGCTGCCACTTGAGCTCTCTCCCCTTAATCGGGTCTGCGGAAACGAAGAGCAGATCTGAAGAGGACGACGACTGAGGAACAGAAGGAAGAGGAGGAAGGAGAATGGGACGAGGCGGTACGGAAGAGAAGCCGGTCGAGACTCTGGTTGGGGAGGTATTCGTAGACGAGGAGGTTCTCCGGGCCTGAGCAGCTGCAACCCAGCAATCTGACCAGGTTCTCGTGCTCCAGGCTGCTGATGATGTTGGCCTCGTTGAAGAAATCGGAGACGGGTGGCCGTTTGTCGATGAACAGCCTCTTCACTGCGATCTCCCTTCCATCCGCCAGAACTCCCTGTCAATGGCGACGGCGATTCCTCAGAAGGGCAGGAACGGAAGATGTCCGACGAAATGGCACGAGGATCCTATGCTTCGACAGAGAATTTCAGAGGTCGAGAATCGTCTCCTCCATGGACAACCTTGTAGACGGCCCCAAATCCTCCCTGTCCGAGCTTGTTGGACTCGGAGAGATGTCCGGTGGCCTTTTCCAGGGTGGAATACTTGAAGTCGATGCATGTTGTATAAAGAAGGGAGGCGATCTTCGCCGCTTCCTCCATCTCTGCGGATTGGAAACCACGTCAGTCTAAGAAAAACACAAAGCTACGACGGAAACATTAGATGATAGATAAGGCCCCACCCCTCTTCTGGTTCATGTTCTTCCTGCAGATCCTGATCAGAATGACGGCGAACAGCGCGAGCGCTAGGATTGCGAGAGGAGTTGCGATTATAGCCGTCTTGTTGGCTGCAAGGAAGAATAAGGAGATGGGTGTTAGGGTTTCCAGGGGGAACCTCGGATGGAAGCTCATGGGGGTGACCAATCTGCGAACCTTCGGCACTCCCGCCCTCTTCCGCTCCGCCGAGGAAGTTGGCATCGGAGTAGCGGAGGAAGCAACCCGTGTGGAGAGCCCTTCCCTCCGACCACGGCAAGCAGCTGGTCACCGACGCCAGGGCGCTCTCCAGGCACGCGCTGCAGGAGCTCTCGTTCAGCGACCTCCAGCAGTCCACCAGCACGTACACCGGCTCGCCGCCGGGGACCGAAACGGTGGCGTTTCCACCGGCCGGCGGCGCCGCCGTGACGGCCCGCCGCACGGCCTCCCGCGCCGCCCTCTCGAATGCGGCACCCCTGCGTGTGGCGTTGCCGCAGAGGGCGCCGTCCTGAGGGCCGGAAAACTCGCCGTAGAACTCGTACTTCTCGGCCCGCATGAAGCAGCCGTCGAGGTAGATACGGCCGCCGATGTAGGGGAAGCACTGCGGGAGCGTCGTGCGGGCGGTGGAGTAGCAGAGGGTGCAGTCCTGCTCCGGCAGGCCGCGGTAGCAGAGGGCAAGGCTGTGGTCAGAGCCGTTGGTGGAGATGCCGAAACCGGTGGCCCTGACTTGCTCCCGAGTGCCGTCCATATTGGCGATGAGGCTGGGGAGGAAGACTGTGGCGTTGAGGGCCACCTCGCTGCCGCAGCTGATCTTCACCACCTTCGAGTTAGTGTCCCCTCCCGCCGCCACCGCCGCCACCGCCATCACCAGGAGAACAGCAAACAGTATCGCCATTGAACCAGAGCTCCCCTCCCGATCGAGAAGCTCTCTGTGAATCGAAGGCAGAGACGCTCCTGGCCGGTGAGCTCGAGAATGACATCGACGAAGGCGACCGCCTGGGAGGAAAAGTCAGCTCACTGGCTCTCGCCGAGACCGCTAGCGTTGAAAATTTCGCTCTTTGGTGGGGTCCACTCTCTTATCAGTATCTAATTATGCGATGGTGTCCGTATATTTCCATCTTCTAAGTGTTTCGGTCCTTTCCCGGTCAGATGACTACGCATTAATCCACTTTTGATGACTTTGACTTGGACATCTGGTTCCTCGAAGCAAGAGAGAGACAGATGGTCGGGGAGAAATGCCAAGAACAAGTTTGACAAAGTCTGGTTTGGGCAGGCAGGAAGCACCCTCAACCAGTAATGTCAACAAGTTTGAAGATTTCTCCTCGTAATGAAAACCAGAATTACTGGGTCAACAGGATGACGTAGGGAATGAGGTTGCAGTGAGTTTCAACGGGGGGGAGGGAGCGTTCTCGAACGGCGACTTTTAACCGTTCAATCCATTCTGCGCGTGTTGTAGAATAATTATAGTCGATTATTTAAGCCATAATACACAAATAAATATTTTATTTTTTTCGGTGCTTTGCAGCTCTTTTCTCACCAACCGTACGAGCTTCATAAAATAAAGGCAATTATTCTATTCTCACCCTAATGTCTGGTCGATTCACCGGTTCAGGATTACGTCATTTTGCTGATTTTATTGCATAAATATGGGAAATTTACTGTTTCGCGGTTTTAATTTTATATAAAAATAATATGTAGATAAAATATATGGGCCTTGATTGGGTAATAACTAATAGTGTTCACTTGAACTACCCATTATGCTGAAACTCATGGTCTCCCAAATAAAACGTCCTACGTCAAAGTGGTGATCAAAAGTCATCGATCAATTTCGCCTTGCTCGTTCCCGAGAGATGGAGAAAGGCCGGAAGGTTTCTTCAACCAGCTGGGGCATCGACGACCGCGAAGTGGAAGTGAATTTGGATTACGAATTCGTTTCGTTGTCTCGGAAGTTCTCTGAAAGAGTTGACTGCTATGGTCTGCACCAATAATCGGAAGAGGGAACGGGTAGGAGGAAGATCATGGCCGACGCGGCCCTGGAGAGCCCACATCCTCTGATTCAGATCCTCGTCTTCTTCCTCCTACTCCAGCTATCTGTCCTGGTTCCTTCCTCCGCAGACCTGCGTGCCGAGGAGGCCGCCCTAATCTGCGGCGGCCGCCGGGCCGTCGATGCCGTCTCCTTCGTCGGGAACTTCGTCGGCGGCATGGCCGCCCTCGCCGACCTTGTCGCCTCCGAAGGGTGGGGTGCCCACCTCGCCAACTCCTCCAACTCTTCTTCTTCCTCCTCCAGTTCGCCGGTGTACGGCCTGGCACAGTGCCACTCGGACCTCTCCCTCACGGACTGCCTCGTCTGCTTCGCCGAGTGCCGCACGTCGCTCCCCCGCTGCCTCCCCAACGTCTCCGCCCGGGTCTTCCTCGACGGCTGCTTCCTTCGCTACGACAGCTACGAGTTCTACTCTGAGGCCGTCGACCCCGCCGTTGACCGGGCTCTCTGCGGCGGCGCCACCCACCCTGTTGACTCTTGGCGGAGCAGCGTGATTGCGATGCTAGGGAATCTGACAGCCCTCGCGGTGAGGAACGGGGGGTCCGCCCTGTGGGAAGACACTGCGGCAAGGCTGTACGGTCTGGCGGAGTGCTGGGAGACGGTGCCGGCGGAGGGTTGCCGGCAGTGCCTGGAGAAGGCGGCGAGGGAGGTTGAGGGTTGCCTGCCAGCAACGGAAGGGAGGGGTCTTAACGCCGGCTGCTATCTGAGGTACTCCGACAGCAAGTTTTACGGCGCAGGAGAGAATTCCGGAAGTGAGGAGGCCACTCTCATCGTGTTCTTCTCTGAACATACTTCGATCATTTGTGCGTATATTTCGATCATTGCCAACTTTGGTCATATTTTCTTCATCCCTCAGCAGGCGGGTCCAAGAGAGGATTGATCTTCGCATTATCTTTCTCAATTCCCTCCATCGCCGTTCTCTGCGTCTTATTCGGTTGGATATGCGTCAGAAGGCGAAAGAACCGGAAAATAGGTGATCATCCCTCAGTTCCAGCGGAGGAAAATTAAATCCTACACTGAAATTGTACTTTCTGTGACATTTTCTCAATCATCGTCCAGATATCAAGCAGCAGGTCGAGCTTCCAGCTCTTCTAGTCAAATCCCATCTATACTTCAAATACGAGACTCTGCAGAAAGCTACCGATAGCTTCAACCCTAGTAATAAACTGGGTCACGGGGGCGGTGGCTCCGTGTACAAGGTTTTATCCAGATCTATCATGCATAAATATTATCTTTGCATGATATTTGTTTCGACTATAGCTCTACTAACAGACCGATTGGCGATCTTCTCTGGGTAGGGAACCCTTCCCGACGGCACCGTGGTCGCCGTCAAGAAGCTGTTCTTCCACAACAGTCAGTGGGCCGACGTGCTCTTCAACGAGGTGAGCCTGATCAGCAAGCTGGAGCACGAGAACATCGTCAAGCTCCTGGGCTTCAGCATCGAAGGCCCCGAGAGCCTCCTGGTCTACGAATTCCTACCGAACGGGAGCCTCGATCGCTTCATCTTTGGTAACTCCGAGCTTGCAAACACATCTCGATCCCCGTAAGTTCTCCTCTCCTGATCTGGCAATATTTTCCTTCTCTGAGAACCAGGCGAAGGCCGCGGTGTCCAGAGCCTGGCGTGGGGGGATCGGCTTCGGATCGTGGTGGGGGTGGCGGAGGGGCTGGCGTACCTCCACGGAGGGTCGGAGACGAGGGCGATCCACAGGGACATCAAGTGCAGCAACGTTCTTCTGGACGAGAAGATGAACGCGAGAATAGCCGACTTCGGGCTCGTCCGCCTCTTCCCTGTCGACCGGACCCATCTCACCACCTCCCTCGCCGGCACAGTGTGAGTAGCTCCGACTCCACAGATCCTCTGAAAAGCCTCATGGGGCAAGAATCCCGAGCTCGGATTTTATGGTACCTTTCAATTACCATAAATAGTCATGTCCTGGCCCACCTGAAAGAGTTTGGTTTCCGTGTCTATATATATTTCACGCCCTGTTTTGCTTAGGTTACTGAAGTAGTCATGCTTGACCGTGCAAGAACCCAAATTTCAGGCTTATCCATGCAAGAACTCTAAATTAGTAGTGATTTTCTAGTTCCCTGCCCCAAGTTTTTCCATGAACGGACCCCCCTGAGAGCAGATCACATACCCCATTTGAATTAGAGTCGAACAGCCGTGTTCAGGGCCCTCCCCGAACTTGGAGAGGGGAGAACTCCCGGGTTTGTCCTAGGAAAGTCTGAGAATTCGCCTAAACATGGTAGAATCGCTCTTCAGGGGATACTTGGCTCCGGAGTATGTCATCCACGGCGTGCTGACGGAGAAGGCGGACGTGTACAGCTTCGGGGTCATGCTCTTGGAAATCATCTGCGGCAGGAGGAACTCCTGCCCTAAAAAAGCAGACTCCGTCCTCCAGATGGTAACCTCTCCATCCTCCCTTAAAGCCGATCCGCCCATCGTCACCGTCGCTCTCTCTCTCTCTCTGACTCTCTCTCTCTCTCTCGCTCAGGTGTGGAGGCACTACCAGGCAGGAACCCTAGTGGAGTCGGTGGATGAACGGGTGAAGGAGGAGGTAGCTGCTGAAGAGGCCTCGCATGTGCTCTTAGTAGGTCTTCTGTGCACACAAGCTTCCGTCTCTTCCAGGCCATCAATGCCGCAAGTGGTGCAGATGCTGACCACAAGAGCGTGTAGTGTCCCTGTGCCCACGCAACCTCCTTTCCTCTGATGGCCATCTCGAGCCCGACTTGAAAGGCCCAGATACTGCACTTTTGCTCCCTAACTAAAGAGTGGAGAGGGAGAGAGAGGGAGATAGATAGAGAGAGAGAGAGAGAGAGAGAGAGAGAGAGAGAGAGAGAGAGAGGGGATAGATAGATGTACATATATATATATACGGAGTGAGAGAGAGAGAGAGAGAGAGAGAGAGAGAGAGAGGGGATAGATAGATGTACATATATATATATATACCGAGTGAGAGAGAGAGAGAGAGGGGGGATAGATAGATGTACCTATATATATGTATACCGAGTGAGTGAGAGAGAGAGAGAGAGAGAGAGAGAGAGAGAGAGAGAGAGGGTCGAATCTTGATCCGGGCTTGGGAATCTGATTCGAATAAAGTACAGGACTTTGTGATATTAAGGTTAAATTAGTTATAGATATATTCATGTTATCTGCATATATTCAATCGTTGTCGTGCGGGCTGCCATTTTTTCTCTAATGGCTACAAACGCCGTCATCCTCCTCATCCGGGGGAGGGGATATGGGAAACGACGATATTTTTGTCATTTTTCTGTTATTGTTTAATATTCAGCGTCGAGAAAATAAGCATGTATACGGGAGTAGTTACCGTGGTGAACATTATATAATATATTTTAATTAAAATGTACCCAGCTGGATAATTGTCATTATATTTTATATATTACTTATTTCCTCAAATTTTTTTAAATAAAAAATGAAAATTGATGAATATTTCCGATTGCAGCTGCCACTAAGATTCTGACACAGCAAGAGAGAGAAGACAATTTGGGTTGGGTGGGCCGATCAGTCTTCTTGTTGGCCGAATCTGATTAAGCGGGCGACGGTGACTTCCCCAGGAGGGAGTAACCGAGTGCATATACTCACCGCGGTGCCCGGCGGAAAGTATCATAACTGACATAAAAACCCTCATAGCAATGGCAAAATTACGGCGCAATTTGTATGATCTCGGCTCTGTCATGAAAGGGGTATTGTAGAGAAATACCCGGGAACACTGGGGTACGCCTTGGTGCATCGCCCACGTCGGGACCAGTCGCTTCTGCCCCCCGCCGTCCGTCCATCAATCAAATCGGACATCACCTCCATCCTCTCTTTTAATGGCGCCTGCTCGAAGTTAGGACAGCCGGAGACCAGCCCCCCGGCCGCCGCCTGCGGCGGCGGAGCTTGCCGGCAGGCCGCCGTGGGGGAGCTCCTCCGCCGCCGCCTGCGCCAAAACACCGCCGGCCGCTGCTGCAGATCGGGACCCTCCAGACTGTCTGCTCCGGCCAGGTGCCGACTCGTCTGCAATGGCGGCTTGCCCGGAAACCACGGGCGACGAGGGCCATGGAAGAAGCTTCACTGGAGCTTCTTCCATGGTGGGTCCGCGGAGATCAACGAGACCCGACCGGCGGATTGGGGAAAAGGACGACGGCGGCCTCATCGCTTTTATTACCACAGTTAAAAATAGTATTCTGCAAAAAAGATGAGCAGTTTGATATAAATTAATTATTCGGATGTGATTTGTTTTCTGCAGAAATATTATCCTCTTGGAAGAAACTTCAGGTGAATGTTATATATGGGAAGTCCACGTTTCCACCGAATATCGTTGTTTATAGTTGGAAATATATACATACGTAATCGGTGAATTCCATGGTTGGTATGATTTCATTGCAGTTTATTACTTTACTCTATTGTATATATATTTTAAATTCGGAAGTTTTATCTAGTAAATGAACTGAAGATCAAGTCTACTGCTACTGCCCAGTCTTTCTTCTTCCACGACTGCTTCGGATCTTTGTCTGTTTCCATACGGAGAAATCTCTCACTACCCGAGGTTGGGCTACCCACCGCCACTCCCGCTGTCTGGCGGTGCTCCGCGAGCTTTTAGATCACCACGCGTCGCCGCCGCCGTCGCCGTCGCCGTCGCCGCCGCCGCCGCCGTAGCTTTAGCCGGACGCATGGAGGAGATGTACGGCCTGCATCACCACCTGGGCTTCCACGACCACCCGGCAGCCGCCGTGGTAGACGATCTCCAGAGCTTGATATCGCGGATACCTGGCTTGACGGCGCGGGAGCAGATGCTCTCCTCCTGCACGGACAACACCACCGCCGCCACAGAGGCTTCCATTGCGGTAGGAGGGGGCGGTGGGGCGCCATCGGCGGGGGCGGAGAGTGTTTCCACTTCTAGCTCCATCAAGGCCATGATCGCCTCGCATCCCCGCTACCCTCGTCTTCTTGAGGCCTACATAGATTGCCAGAAGGTACAAGTTCTCTCCTCTCTCTATCTCTCCATTCTCTTGTTCTTCTTCATGCATCTGGATCTTATTTGTCTCAGGCAGTGTAGCCCTGGACCGGTCTTTACTTGCTTTCTCGTTCTTTCCCAGATTTTTTGTTCTTTAGGTTATTTTTCTCTCTCGAAGAACTGGCGAAGAAAACTGCGTAGAGAAGAATCGCGATATAATAACCGTTTATTTTCTCAGGTCGGAGCACCGCCTGAAATCGCTTCATTGCTGGAGGATATCCGACGAGACAACGACGTCTTTAAGCGAGGCGCCGCCTCCGTCCTTCTTGGAACCGACCCGGAGCTCGACGAGTTCATGGTCATCTCACCTGCCTCTCTCTCTCTCTCTCTCTCACACACACACACACACACACACACACACTCATTCACTTTCTCCCTCTTTTTATCTATCCGTAAGTCTATCTATCTCGTCTGCGCGTGCGAGGCCTGAGATTGTTGTCTTCTTGTTTTCCCTCTCTTGTGCGGGTGGACAGGAGATGTACTGCGAGGTGCTGATGAAGTACAAGTCCGACCTCGCACGGCCGTTCGATGAGGCGACGACATTCCTCAACAGCATGAAGTTGCAGCTTAGCGACATCTGCAAGGGGAGCTCCCTCGTCTCCGGTAAGTCTTCCACCCTCCGCTCCTCTCTCACCCCCTGCGAGAGCCATTACCGAACCCACAAGGTCTACCACTGCATACAAGCAAGCTTAGATCTCTCTCTTTCTCTCTCTCTCTCGTTTCTCGTTCATCGTCTGGCTAAACAAGCTCGCGGTGGGATGCTTTAGGGTTGCTGTATTGGTAGGATCTACGATTTCGTTTCGTCTTGAAATCCTTCCTTCCATATCTCCCCAGCATCGATGATCATGCGGGTGAACTTTAGGGTTTCTTCTATCACTGGTTTACATCCCCTCCGCCGACTTTCTGGAGGAGACGGGCCTCGCTCTCTCCAGTTCTTGCCTTCGCCATTAATGATGCGGCGACAATCCCCCCACCAACAGTGCTCGGAATATGCACCCATTATTCCAGTGGTTCCTGTTCCTCTTTCATTCTCTGGATGATGAAGATGAATCTTAGGAACTGTGGCAGAAGTCTCCTGCTTGCTGATCTTCTCCATTCTTTCTTAGTCTAGTGAGGGTTTTTCCTCCCCGTGGAACTGGCTTCAAGTTCCAATACGTCCCGCCAACTATGGCTACTTGGGGACACGAGAGGGAACCTTCTGGGAATGAACGCTCATGAGCTTGGGATCGAGAACGGAAACATGCACTAGGCGAGTTCTTAGATCTTCTCTGACCAGCATCTAGCGTACTATAGTAGTTTATGGCAGACCAGGTCAACGCTCCCGCTTTGGTGCTGCATCACGTTAGCTTTTGGAGAATGCGGTGGGTCTTCTCTCACTAGATTTGATTTGACTTTGACCATAGAAGGCCGAGCTTAGTGCGACCCATTATTTTGTATTTTTTCTGGTTTCCTGTTATTTTATGCCGACCGTGTTGTTAAAAAAATCGTCTTCTGATAGTGGAGTCCATTTGGAATTGACCATAGCGGTCGCGCCTTATTTGTTGCTATTTATGTTTGTCCTTGAGCCCCTTCCATATTATCCACGTGGCGGCACCTGGGACCGTCTGGATGAGATGATGTTGACTTCTTGCTTGCCCCTCTCGTCTGCAGATGAAGCTGCGGGTTCATCGGAGGACGAGTTCGGCGGCGGGGACATGGACGCCCAGGAATCTCAGTCCAGGAACGAAGACAGGGATCTCAAGGACGAGCTCCTCCGCAAGTACGGCGGCTACCTTAGCGGTCTCAAGCAGGAGTTCTCGAAGAAAAAGAAGAAGGGGAAGCTGCCCAAGGAGGCCCGGCAAACCCTACTCGACTGGTGGACTATTCACTACAAGTGGCCCTACCCGACGGTGGCGTCTCTTCTCTCTCTCTCTCTCTCTCTCTCTCTCTCTCTCTCACTTCCTGAGATTTCTCAAACTTGTGGAAATGATTCTGACGGAGGGGTGGAATGGTTTGGACAGGAGGCCGACAAGATTGCGTTGGCGGAGACGACGGGGTTGAACCAGAAGCAGATCAACAACTGGTTCATCAACCAGAGGAAGCGCCACTGGAAGCCTTCGGAGAACATGCAGTTCGCTGTGATGGACAACCTCTCCGCGGCGCCCTTCTACCTCGACAACTGAGGAGAGACTTATCGTTCTGTTGATCTTCGTCGGGGCTTTTTTCTGCAGAAGATGTTGTTGGTAATCTCGGATTTTCGAAGCTGTAAATCCAGGACGATAAGAGATTTGAACCACCGACCCCCACTCTTCTGCTTCGATGGTTGAAATGGATGAGGTCGCCAGAGAAATGGCCTGTCTTGTCGCGGCAACCGTCGGTCCCTTCCCCGGGGGCCCCGGTGGCCGGCCTCCGGTGGCAGAGAAAACCGTGGAAGTACTCTCTTCAACCGGGCGGTGCAGCCATTCTCGTTTCTCCCGCGACCGGCGGAAGCCTTGTCTCCTGACGTTTCTTCTTCTGTCGGCTTGTCATGTTTCTCGTCCGCCGGTGGCTTCTTCGGTCGGAGGATTCGCCGGCGGCTTCTTCGGTCTTGTCCTGGCCATTCCCAGTATCTTCGCTACCCGCTCACACCGCCGCCGGATGGTGGCGCCGACGACGGCCCGTCCAGCTACAGCGGCAGCGCTGGGCGCCGACACGCCGACGAGGAGAAAGGTATACACAATTTTTTTATTTGTTAAAAATCAGTTAAAACAATTTATTTTATTTATCGGTGAATATATTTGTTGGTTATCTTTTGATGGAGACGGTTCAACTTTTTATTTTAAGGCTTTGGAGGTTATCATGTTATATTTACATTGTTTTGTCACTTCATTTTAAAACGGCGGAGTTCGCCGGATGTATTCGCCAACGTCTCTTTTCCTGCTGCTCTCCCGCGTCCCCCGTCTCACCAGAGCACCTCCCTCCCCCCGTCTCTCTCTCTCTCTCTCTCTCCCTGCGTTCTTTCTGTACACAGATCGAAGACGACCCCCAAGGACGAAAGCAGCCGGTGGGACTCTATTGATGGCTCTCTGCCCTCATCTACGCCGTGATCTCTCGATTTCTCTCGTGCCGTAACCTCTCTCTCTCTCTCTCTCTCTCTCTCTTTCTCTCTCTTCTTTGCTTCCTTCTGTCACTGGTGTTGCTACCGGTGGTGGCATCCAGGCATGCAGGAATAAGGGGATCGCGCTCCTGTGCGCTTTCAAATCTGGCCAGATCGTGCGAAGTTTGGTGCTGATGGCGGGCATTGCAGCCGTGAGAGGCCGGCCAGCGGCAACGGGAGTTTATCCGGCGCATCATGAGAGGCTATTCATGTTCTGTTTCTCCTTAAGTACCGAAGGCACCTTCCTCTCTGCGGATCGTCGTTGCTACTGGATTTTTTTATTTCTCCTCGGCCGCTCCTCAATCTTCAGTCGACGTCTACCAAAAACTGTTGGCTATCCTGTGCAGAGGGCGAACAACGTAGGCGTTTACCTATCTTAGTTCCTTTTGAGTAGGAAAAACTTGGATACCTTATCTTCCAAGTAGGGCTTCGAATCGGTAGGGAATTCGGCTAATTGATGACCAAGGATCCCAAGAGTATAGCGCAATGAGACCCCATTCGATTACAGACGAATAGTTTCTCAGCGGCCTCCGCATCCAGAATTCCTCGAGATAACTACTAGACGCAGATCTGAAAGCAGCCGACGGGCGTTGTATGATTTCTTTCATAATCATCTGTCCTACCATGATCTGAGTGGATTATTTGAGTTTCACTCGTGTTCAATGATAGTAATTTCCTAACATCGTAGCTAATTTTTGTTTGACTTTGATTTTAGATGCTGATTAATAATGTAAATCTGTAGTATTGTATGATAATGGATGAGAGATCTGTAATCGAGTCTCCTGATCGACAGTATGAGCGACCGAAAAATCATCCAGTACTTTAATGGTTAATTCGTATATGCCTGCAAAGTTTTCTGGTGTTAGACAGGTCAGGCTTCTTCACGCGGGGGGTGGAAGGAAGGTCAGTAGAGGGAAGCATACGAGAAGGCTCCCTCTGTGAGAAAAACCCATCTCTGAAGTGCCTCCTGGGTCTCTGTGTCTGTCCATCTACTCTCCACGCGCCAATTCATGGGACTGTGCCGGGTACTGGGCCGGCAGGGGCTGATGAAGGTTTAGGCCCAATGAGAGACTTGATCTGAGCCAGGCAGGAAAGCGAAAACTTTCTGGCCCCCCTCTTCCATGTCCGTGCTCCCTGCCGTTTCTCCCGCTAAAACCCCTTGAACCCTAGACAAGAAAACCCAGTATAAGAAAACACACCCCAGCATAACACACTCTCTCTCTCTCTCTCTCTCTGAGACACACCCGTCATGTCTGGGTTGGCAATTCTACGGGCGAAGGTCGCCAGGCCTCGCTTGGCGAACTGGAGGGCCTTCCGGTTTCGTAGCTTCTGTGGTACCCATCTCAGGCCATTTTCGCAGTCGATGGTGTCCGACGCGGCAGAGCCTCCCGGCGAAGTCGCCCCCCCCCCCGGCAGGAAAATATTGGAGGTCTTCAGAGAGGAATTTGAAGTCGGCTCCCGTACAATCACTCTCGAGACAGGGAAGATTGCCAGGTTCGCGAATGGGTCGGTTGTGATCGGAATGGAACAGACGAAGGTTCTCTCCACAGTCGCATCGGCGAAGAGTGGAGATGGTCTCAGGGATTTCCTGCCTCTCACAGTACGCTAACACATAATCCATTTCCTTCTCCGTCTATCGAATGTTTTCAGAAATATTGATGAGTGAATCTTCTTATCTTTGTTTTTGAGATTGAGTTTTATCGATGGAGTATGTAAAGGAGCGGCCTTTTAAAACATCTAGAACAATATGAAATATTTTTTCGTTTTATTGATTACGACTTCTTTAAGTTTGTATGCACCAGTCTATCTTAGAACTGTCAATAGGGGTAGACGCACCTGGAGTTGAATTCGGGACAATTTGGTAGAATTGGAGATAGAAATGTGAATACATTGATAAATATCGTATGTGTATAGAGTAATGCCTGAATTCAAATCATGTTTGAATTCAACTTTTCTACCCCCTCGAGGGCTTGAACATTTATGTAGAAAGAACAGAGCTCCATTCTGTCCCGTATAGTGTAATGTTTAAAAGAGTTTATGAAAGGCGGACCTATACGGTTGTAAAGAAACATAGTGCCACATCTTTTTTCTGTGAGTTAATGCGTAGCCTACCTCGCTCCAAGATTTTTGATTCGTTACTGTCAGAAATGGTGAGGATCCTGTTTGTTCCATATCCCATCTTGATGCCAACGCCGTACACATGGATCTGGACCCACCTAAATTTTCGGAACTTCCAAGTCGGAATCTTGCTTGCCAACATAAACGTTAAGTGAATGATGTGCTATGAGGATACTGTGTTTTTCCTTCGGTTTTTGACCTTTTCTACGATTTTCTATTTGCCATCTACTTTTGTACTACTAAATGCCAGGCCAGAAGAGTCACACTTCTGAGATTGTGAAACAGGTTGACTATCAAGAAAAACAGTTTGCTCAGGGTGTCATCCCCACCACTTTTATGCGAAGAGAAGGTGCTCCAAAGGAGCGAGAGCTTTTGTGTGGTCGTCTTATTGATCGGCCAATACGACCACTGTTTCCACCTGGGTTTTACCACGAAGTTCAGGTTTGCTCAAATTTTTACTGTGTTTAATGTTATATCTGGATTTTCCGTTGTCCTGGTAAATCCCTCATGTTTCTGCATCTTGTTAATCCCTCCTTCATTGTATTTTACAGGTCATGGTGAGTGTTCTCTCATCTGATGGAAAGCAAGATCCCGATGTGATGGCTGCCAATGCTACCTCTGCTGCTCTTATGCTCTCAGATATACCTTGGAATGGACCTATTGGTGTAGTGCGATTAGGAAGAATTGATGGGCAACTTGTTTTCAACCCAACCATGGATGAGGTAGTGTTTATTTCTGTACAGTCGTTTGTTCTTCGAAAATACAAAAAAAAATGTTTCGTATGTTCTTGCTGTATTATTATTCTATGTGGCAGGTATGACAATTTGAAACCTTATTTTTTTATTTTGGTTTCTTGAGGTTGTACACTTATTTTTTCATTGTTTTCAGACGTATTCTTTATAATCTGTGAATGGTTGACTTGTGCAGCTTAGCTTAAGTGATCTCAACTTGGTGTATGCCTGCACACGGGATAAGACTTTGATGATTGATGTACAAGCTCGGGAGATCACTGAAAGGGATTTGGAAGCTGCACTGAAGCTTGCTCATCCTGAGGTTTGTTTAATTCCCGTATGTTTTAAAAAAATCGAAGCATGAAAACTTATGCACCAGTGAGTGTCTTGATCTCATACAGAAAGATTTGGACGCCGCCATTGGCCCACACGTTTTTCTAGCTTGGAACAAAAGCTCTTGATGCAGTTGAGTGTTTTCTGTTCATTTATTCGTAGACTGAATTGAGATGAAACAATGTTTTCATTTATTCAGGCAGTTAAGTACATTGAACCTCAGATTACGCTGGCCAAGAGAGCTGGAAAAGGCAAAAAGGAATATAAATTGTCCTTAATGACAGAGAAGACGCTGGAGAAAATTAGTAGCTTGACTGAGGCGCCAATAGAAACTGTTTTCACTGACCCAACCTACGGCAAGGTATAATGATCGGTAGTTTCTTTTATTCTTACTTTAAGGAGTTTCAACATCACACAGGCTAGTTCCTGTTTATTTATGAGGAGCTTATGCTATTGTTGTAAGCAGCCTTTGAATGATGTTTTGTGCCGATGTTCCTGAGTTAAGTTGTGCCATGTATTCCACTTTGTAAAAAGGTAATAATGTTCATAGTGAACTGTTTATCAGTTTGAGCGAGGAGAAGCCTTGGATAAAATTGCACAAGATGCAAAGCTGGTACTTGAAGAACAAGGCGATGAAGAGAGCTTAAAGTTTTTACCAAAGGCCGTTGACACTGTTAGGAAAAAGGTATATTTTTATTTTAGTTAACGGATTATTTCTTCGTGCTTATGTTGGGTTTGATCAAAGTAGACTGGCCAAATGCTTTCCAACTTTTTTCTTGTGTTAGTCTCTGGATTATAACTTATTTTCTATAGCCCAATATCATCAATCATAATTCATTAAGAAGTAGAGATAATGATGCCAAACTTCAAAGGGTGTTAAACTTCTAGTCAGTACAAAATAAATATTATGTACTCATTATCGAATTGAAAAGAAAGAAAAAAAAAAGGCCGCGAGAGTCAATTCTCTCCCAGGAAAAAGTAACTGAGCTAGGTCCCCATTATCCTTGTTTACGCCCAGATTTTGACTATTTCCTGCAGGTCAGTAATGGTTTTGCGCGACCATTTATTTGGCCAAAATAGTTAATGTCCATTTCTGACTAATTTATTTTTCGCCCAGCCAGAAGAATGTCCGTATCATTGTAGAATATATGTTTTTTTCCCTTCAAGATGTTTTTCTGCCTATTCAATAGGAGTAGCGAAAAATCTGATGGTTCTACTACGGAAACTCAAGCTCCGTATTTTTTTCAAAAAGAAAGATGAATCTGTGATATAAGTTTCTGTGGCGGTTAATTTTTAAAACTTGTCATGATGGAGATATTGATCGGAAAATCTTTCTCTGTTCAACTTTTGAATCAATACTAAACAGCCTGAATTTGAGTTAATCGCGTTATGTTCTAGTTGATTGTTTCGCTGAAAATCTGGTTCGTAGTGATTTATTCAGTCCTAATTCCAATTTTCGCTCTTGATAAAATTTTAACGATTTTTAGAGTAAGTGTGGATGAAATTGAAAACGAAAACCATGCACGTGTTCCCTCCGATGAATGGGGAGCTGCAAGCTTTTCCTAGAGTTGGAGTCTTGTAAAAGGTAAACGTCAATATTATTGCTAGTCTCTCATTTTGCTAAGTTAATATTCGAACATGCCCTAATATCATCGCTATGAGGAATGGTATTGGTGGGTGCTCTTGAGCTGGAATGGGATACTATTAAATAAAGTGAATATAGGAGGGGACAGTATGCAACAAGTATACTTGTTCTTATTACAAGATACATTACAAACTTGGTGAAATTTTGAGATAAGAGCATCGTTTTGAAGCCAAGTGTCATGCTCTCAGCTTCCCTACATTACCTATCTGAAAATTGAAGATATTAGATGTAGAATTATTTTTTTCATGTAGGATTGATGCATTCACTGGTATTAAATCTCCACTCATTTCCGTACTTAAAGTTCATGTTGAACAATATCATTCCACAATGAATTGGTGTTACATTCTCTTTACACACATTTAGCAAGAAGAGGCTTAGTTCTCTGCTTGTAAACATCCCTGATTCTCCTCCTAATAGGTTTTGCATACTCTATCCACGGTAGAATGGGCACCGTTTGTGTGTCTTCTTGACCATCTCCGAAGACGTATGCTTCGAGTGACATAATCTAACGGGCCATATTCTAGAAGATTCATGTTTGTTTATTGGGTCTCGCTAACACACCCTCAAGTTGGAGCAAATCTAGAACCTAGTTCTTGCCTGACTACTGATTTGCAAACGAATGATCAAATATGAACTTTGAGACTGAAATCGAAGAAATAAATGGTGGAACTGGAGCTTTTGTAAATGGTAGAGTCGGCAAGGGCTAGTGCTGAACTTGTACTGGAAGAAGCTGAAGCATAAGTCGGAGTGGTAGAGGCTGCAGTTGAAGCTGGAGTAGGTGAAACAGATCTGAAATCGAAATATCAGAACTAAATCTTAATCCAGAGTAGCTAATTCACAATTGAATCTGAGAATTAAACCTCGAAATGGAAGACAGAGAATTTGCTGGTGGAACTGGAGCCAAAGTACTATATGCCGAAGTTGAAACATAAGCAGAGTATCCAGGAGATGAAGCCAGGATCAGTGAAGAAGTAGAGTGGGCTGCGGGAAGCGAGCATTTGCTGCCTTGACCTCCAAGATGAGGCTGGTAGTGATATATGTAGTAGTAGATGTAGAGGAAGCCATAACATTGGTTCAAGATGTGGCCGAGCCACTGCCACTGTCCTTCTTATCCTCACAGATGGAGTGTCTTGTGGGTAACAGCTGCAGTGGCTTGAGAAACACGAGGAGGAAGAGAGAGTACACCAATCGTTGGATCTTAATTCATGGGTTCCACGGTGGGAGTAATCGTGATATTCCTTAGCGAGGTACTGGTTTAGGTTTCTTTTCTATTAGTCGATTGGAGTGTCTTATCCACACAGTGGATGAGATTTCAGGTTCTTGCTGGTTTTATGATATGTTTTTGCTTACCTAACCCATCAGTTTTGAGCACTCGCGCTGAAAATTTGAGTTGTTTCATAATTCCTGTGGTGATTTGCACTTAATCTTGGCAGGTTGTTCGTAGAAGGATCATTGAGAAAGGGCTCAGAGTTGATGGCAGGCGTCTTGATGAAGTCAGACCTCTGCACTGTGAAGCTGGAACGTATCCAATACTTCATGGCTCATCACTTTTCTCTAGAGGAGACACTCAGGTGATCCAATGCTCGTCTTGCTGCTCTCATTTTTCTTTCATCACACTAATGAAGCAGAAACAGAGTGTTCTTCTTACAGTGCTTTCAGAAATTCCATTTGAAAATTTCAGGTCTTGTGCACAGTTACTCTTGGTGCACCTGGAGATGCTCAACGGTTGGATTCCATTGTCGGTCCTCCCACAAAGCGTTTCATGCTCCACTATAGCTTCCCTCCATTTTCCATTAATGAAATTGGAAAACGAGGTGGCTTGAATAGACGTGAAGTTGGGCACGGTATCTTATTCTCTCTGCACTTAGCAAAAAGAACATTCAGCTGATCTTAGATTTTGAGTCATTGCACCTTGTTTCCTATCTAACACCAGTTTTGTAACATGCTGATATTCAAAGATAATGAACTGATAATTCCTCTTCTTAAATTGCTTCTTGAGTTTTCATGTGATGTTATGTAGATATTTAGACTTCCGATAATTTTGAAATCGGGTGATACCTCAAACTAAACAACATGAACATCCATTAACCTTGTAATCAAATTCATTGTTTACTGTTCGCTAGAGTGGGAGATAGAAATCAAACACTAATTAAGATTCTTCTTTTAATTTAATGAGGCAAATCATGCGCTTTCATCTACTTTATTTTTTTTTCTTGCAGGTACTCTGGCGGAAAAGGCTTTGCTTGCTGTATTACCTCCAGAGGGTGATTTTCCCTACACCGTTCGTGTGAATTCTGAAGTAATGGCCTCGGATGGTTCAACATCAATGGCGAGCGTTTGTGGAGGTATGGACTCTTGGTTTTTCTTCCCTGTATATAAAGGACGAGTTAGCAGCAACTTTAGTGAGGAAATATCAAACTATTTAATTACCTAATTTTTTATCAAGTGATTTCTTCTGTTGTCTGTGTGTGTACCCTTCTCATGTCTCCTTCACGATTTTGCAGGAAGTATGGCTCTCATGGACGCTGGTATTCCACTGAGAGTGCATGTTGCAGGTGTTTCTGTGGGTCTTGTCACTGACATGGATTCATTGACTGGGGAAATCACAGATTATCGCATACTTACTGATATTCTGGTGAGGAAAGTTGTAGGCCAGCTGCAGTTGTCAGACAATAAAAACATATTAAGCCTGTGATTGCTTTCCGACTGGTGATTACTCCATGATATTTAACAACTTTTTCCTGATCAAAAAGGGTCTTGAGGATCATCTTGGGGACATGGACTTCAAGATTGCTGGCACAAGGAGAGGAATATCTGCCATCCAATTGGACATCAAGCCTGCTGGAATACCTCTTGGGATAATCTGTGAAAGCTTGGATCACGCAAGGAAGGCTCGCTTGCAGATACTTGATCGCATGGAGGATGAGATCAGTACTCCTCGTACACAGGATGACACCAATGCTCCTCGATTGGGTAAACTTATTTATTTAATTACCGGAACTTGATGAATAATGCTTCAAGTCTTATCTGTATTTGGTGCTGTTGTAGCCACAATGAAGTTGAGCAGTTATTCCCTTCGTCGATTGCTTGGACCTCAGGGTTCCCAAAAGAAAAAAATTGAAGAAGAAACAGGTGACAGTCTTTCTGTTGCTGTCTTAATGTGCTCCATGTTCATTACCCTGGAAAAAAAAAATGTTTCTTGTTTCAGATTGTTGTGGTTTTCTGAAAAATAAAAATTACCCTGGAAATTTTCTGTTTTTTCTGACGTCTATGGTGGTGAATTCAATTGGTATAAGAATATGCTTGGAGGGAGTGATTAAATAAAAAATACCTTGTAAGGTAAGGTACATCTGCCAAGATTAATATCCTCGACTGTTGGGCAGTCGTCTCTGATCCAGCGTTGACAAGTACAGTTGACCTTTAGCAAACTCCTTGCCATGACCACTTGACCAAAGTCCCCTGCTTGCCTCTATTGTTGGTTTTCTTGCGGTCCTTCAATGTTATTCATCGTGTAGGCGCACGATTTGCATTCAGTGACGGGACGCTTACCATTGTTGCCAAGGATCAGACTGTCATGGAGAAAGCCCAAGATAAGGTGAGACCACGTGATTGAGCCCTTCATATTTGTTCTAATTCCTGATGGAACCCTGTAGCATGTGAATAAACTGCTTTAGCGACTTGCAAAGCATTCAATCATTGTTTTTTTTCTCCAGATTGATTCACTTGTGGGTCGGGAGATCGAAGTTGGTGGGATCTACAGAGGGGTAATCGGCTCGATCAAAGAATATGGAGCTTTTGTGGAGCTCAGGGGGGGCCAGCAAGGGCTTCTCCACATCTCTGAGCTGTCGCACGAACAGGCAATCCTGCGAACTTCTAATACCTGCATAGATGCTTCTTCAAGCCGTGTCTGAGGTCATCTTCAACCTCCGTCTTCTTCATCCCTTCCCAGGTTTCGCGGGTCTCGGACATGGTGTCCGTGGGGGAGGAGCTCTCTCTCATGTGCATCGGGCAGGATGTGAGGGGTAATATCAAGCTCTCCCTGAAGGCCACCATGTCTCCGCCGGGGTCCGAGGACAAGACTGCGCCTGCTCAAGCTCCGGCCAAGCAGGAGATCAGCGTTTGGGCGTCTGTGGGTGTCGTCTCTGATGAACTAGCAGGCGATGGATCTGAGAAAAAGAATAAGCTTCCGGAGGAGGGAGACGCTGCCGCCGCCGCCGCCGCCGCCGAATACTCGGTCCCTTCAATAGTAATCCGAAGCGCTGCTGAGTGCGACTCGTCAGAGGAGACCACCTCCGGCGAGGGCATCCCTCTAGCTACTGAGAAGAACTCAAGGTCTCCGAGGGCGGCCAGATCCAAGAATTCAAAAGCACCGTCCGAAGAAGCCTCCAAGATCAGGAACATCATCAGGTCAACGCTGCCGCCCTCGGTGAAGACGCAGAAACGGAGCCTCGGCGGAGGAGAGGAAGCTGGCGGGAAGAGCCGCGGCGGAGCGAAGCCGTTGAAGCTGGGGGACAGGGTGACGGCCAAGGTCTATCAGGTCCGAGCTCACGGCCTGGTGCTCGATCTCGGGGGCGGAGTCAAAGGGATGTACAAATTCGAGGTACCTTCTAACGCCGTTCTTTCCAGATCTGGTCTGAATCTGTCCCCAGGTGTTCATCTCTCATCACCTCTCGACGTCGACTCGCCTGGTTATTCCCTTGGGCAGGAAAACGGGAGGCGAGATTTTGAGACGGGAGATGAGCTGCGGCTGAGATGCTCGAGCTTCTCCAGCAAGGGGATCCCCGTGATGTCGTTCCTGGATGACGACTGATCCTTCCTCTGGCGGCGTTGAGGACCGACGACTCCCTCGACTTGCACCCTAGAGGGCCACCTCCTCCCCTCAGATCGCGACGAAGCAGAGCAAATTTTCACAAGGGATGTTGCAGGCGAGAGAGAGAGAGAGAGAGAGAGAGAGATGATATTGAATTGGAACGGGCGGGAGAGTAATCTCTCTGTGCGGAGTATGAAGAGTAGTGGGTTCTTTTTATCATTGGAAATTTTCATGAGGGCTAAAGTGTAATAAGGTAATATAGATAGACTAGATCCATTCCCCGTCTTTCTTCTCCAAGTTGGTCTGAGGCGGCAAAAGTGGTTGCGAGGAAGCGGCAGTCGAGATCCCATGGCTTCTATCTCCTCGCTGTCCCAGTCTTCTCAAGCTGCTGCAGCTTCTTTCTCTCCTGGTTGTCGTCGGTTACGGAGCCGGCGGTCCACGCCGGCGGCTCAAGTCTTCTGCTCTGCGGAGCGGCAGGCTCTATTTAGTCGCATTGCTCCCGTGTACGACGACGTAAGCTCCCGCACATCTCTTTTTCTCCTTCGAGCTTCGGTGGACTGAGACGAGGCTTCCGGCGGATACATTCCTGTTCGCAGTTGAACGATCTGTTGAGCCTGGGCCTGCATCGCGTGTGGAAGAGGATGGCCGTATCTTGGAGTGGGTGAGCTCGTATACTTGCTGTAATAGAAGTATTTGCTCGAGTTTTCCGGGTTGTCCGAGGAATTGTCACGAGACTCGGCGGTTGTTCGATGTGTAGTGCGAAGAAGGGAGACCGCGTGTTAGATTTGTGCTGTGGGAGCGGCGATCTGGCCTTCCTCTTGTCCGAGAGAGTCGGTCCTGAAGGAGAGGTATGCCGCCTTGTACACTATGTGGCAAGTCCTTATTTCTCTCTCATTGTGACATTTTTTTTCTCTTTCTTGTGCTACTTTCATTGGCATTCGTATCAATTGACCCAGAGTTATGTGTGCGTTGAGAGTACTGTGATTGTTTGACACATGCTAGTTTGCCATCAATAGTTGGTTTGTTGCTCAATTGAAAGTAGTTTGTGTTTTTCACTTACGATTTTCCATTTATGAGCAGTCACATTCTAGTCATTTGGCTATTTTCAACAAGCATGTGGCCAATGTGGTTGATACTGCTTATTAATGAGTTCCAGGTTGGATGTTAATAGTACTTGTGAAAGTATTAAGCACTGCAGAAATAACGATGGCTCATACCATTGTGGGATACGAATTTTTATAGTGGTTTGGTCAACCCTGAACCTACTTTACTCCCCATACCTTTCTCTAGGCTTCATCAAGGTACCAATCAGACGTTTACATATAATAGACTTTCCTATGATATTAAGTCTTCCAGTCTTACTCAGTAGGCAAGAGCTTGTTCAAAGGAAAACATGACAGCAAATAGATTCGTACACTACTTTCTGATTATGACTGGGACACCTTGAGAGAGTTGGGAGCAGCAAGTTGATCAGATGAAGAACTTGGACCGCCTTTGAGAATGCAAACACAAGTTGCTTCTTTGTATAGACGATTTTTATTCGCGAAAGCTTGTATGAATCCTCTTTTTCTTGTTCTTTTATTGCCTCACACATTCCTTGTTGTCTATTTTAAGATCTTGCTCCAGAAGAGTCCTGACTGTTGGCACTTGTGGCTTGAAGTTGAGATCTAGGTTATAAGTGTCGACTCTCATGTTTTCTGACTCTTGTTTGCTCTTAAGTATCATACTTGGGTCTGGAGGATTGACACTTTTAATTCATTAGCCGGCACTTTTGTTTCTTGACTTCTTTTTTTTTCCTTTAGGTTCAGCACTTTTAATTTGAAAGTCAGCACTGATTTGTCTTGACTTCTGTTTTGCTCTAACACAAAACTAGTTTTTTCGATGCTTTTAGTTCAGGGGGCCAACGCATGAGTTCTAATATAAACTCTATGCATAACATCGCTTATTTTTTACATACATTATCTATCACTTTCTCTTTTAACAAATGAGACATGATATAGCGCATTAATCTACATCACACTCTATTACTACTTTTAGAAGCCTTTTTGGAATTATTTTTCAAAGAAGCTGAAAGGGCGACAGAATTTACATAGGATAATGGGTAACGTAAGAGATACTTCATTTTAACGATACAATTGTATTTTTCTATGCAGCAGTTTATCCGTGCTAAGGAACAAGGTTCTAGTGAATCACCGAAGTATATTGTAGCTATATCATTCCAGTTTGAAGTAATGCATGGTATACTAGTACATCCTTGTCAAGTAATTATAAATTGTATATTTTTTTTCTTGGGTTAAGGATGTTCCTTTAAATTTGCAATGGTTCGGATTCGTCTTTTTGTAAATATCTCGAGTTTCGCATGAGTATGCTTGGGAAAAATGAACCAGGGGAATTGTGATGTCTGGTACTAGAAATTCCAAAGTGTGAACTCATAGGTTATGCAATATTTCGGAATGCCAGAGAGGCACGTGATTAAATTGAGCATTATCACCATTTTCAGGTAACTGGTCTCGACTTCTCATCAAAGCAGCTGCTGATCGCTTCATCTCGTCAAAACTTATCTGGGAAAGCTTGCCATAGAAATATTACGTGAGCCCTTATTAACACAAAGGCTCTCGATGCACCTTGTTTCTTTGATAAGCCTGGAAGTAGAAGACGCCATGATCCTCATTCAGTTGTTGAATGCATGTGACAGTGCAACGTGTCATGTTGCAAGCCTTAGAAAGTGTTCAGATCCATGAAGATAAATTTCTTATGGTGTTTCTCTGTATCTTTTATTCTCAAATAGTACCAAGTCTCTAGGAAAATCCAGTCAACCAACTAGCTTTTACTTACATTTTAGAAAGGAAGAATATTCAGTTCTTATTTTTAATTCAACGAATGCAGGTGGGTTGAAGGTGATGCACTTAATCTCTCATTCCCTGCATGTTACTTTGATGCAATCACCATTGGTTATGGCCTCCGTAATTTGGTTGACAAACGTAAAGCAATGGAAGAGATGTTTCGAGTTCTGAAACCAGGTTTTTTTTCCTCGATGTCCTTGATTAGAATTTGCCATATCTAATAGAATTATCTGTACCTGATCATTCACATCTTTTGCAGGCGCAAGAATATCAGTTTTAGATTTTAACAAAAGCACAAGTGCATTTACTACCATATTTCAGGTATTTGGCTTATAACTTCATATGTGCGCTCTACATGGTCGAGCATTTAGTGATTTTATGAATCCTCGAAAAATGTCGAAGCTCTGGTATCCTCGTCTAAGAAATCTGTTTGCAAAGAGATGGACATATAAAGTGGTCGTATCGTTCCCACTAGAACGGATCTTCAGTTCTTGTTTTGTATGCATACAATACAACTGTTTTTTTTTTTTTCTCCTCTCTTCATCTTCTATTGGTGGCCTTTGACTTTGATAGTTCATTGTGTTTCACGGTGTAGCCAACATGCAGATAGATCAGTTTCAAATAGGTCGAAGTTGTGATTCATACCCAACACGCTGTCATCATGGTCGAAACCAGTCTAATCGATCAAAATTTCCCGCCGCCTAAAAATTATCAGCTGACATTGCATCGAGTTATCTGCATCTTAATCTTACATTGAAAAGGTCATGGGATCGTTTTTTATTGTTGGTGGTCAATGCACCTCCACATGCATTAAAAGCCATATTTCAACAGTTTTTTTTTTCCAACCTTCATTCACTTTTTTTTTTTTTTTTGGCAGGAGTATATGATAGACAATGTTGTTGTTCCAGTGGCAGGCAGCTACGGTCTCAGTGAGGATTATGCATACCTGAAATCCTCAATCCAAGAGTTCTTAACAGGTACTTAAAGCCTCAATCCTTTTTTGGGGGGTCGAAATCTCTTAGATCGATCATCATCAGAAGAAGGATTAGGCCAAAAATCAGGATACATTCTGGGAAAATGAAACCTCCATTGAAAGAAGCAAACGAAACTGTTTCATAAAAAAAATCATAGAATTATTAACTGCATCCAATCGCCAAAAGGTCCACTTATTTCACTTTTATTTATTTTTGGAATGGGATGTATCTTATTTACGGAATCCCCATGAATAGGATCAGATCTTATTCCATGATATTTCCATAATCTTCCAGGCAAAATCCCCATCAGATAGAGATTTTATTTTCTTTCGACCACCTTTCGATTATTAATACGAGATAAAAGGATCGATCAGTACTGCACCTATGATCGTGAAATATCGATTGCTCGTTGAATCCTGTGAACCACGTTAAAGTAGCCTTTTTTTTTTAAAGCATTCATTAAGTCTTTGATATTGAAATGCTGATTTTGTTGGATAGAACTCCCTCCCAAGAAGCTGGTGTCCCTAGAGTCAACGCGTGCTGTCCTTTTCCTGTAATATATATATTTTTAATGATTTTGACAATGTGAAGAAAAAAAGGAATTTGTTTATGTCGAAAGATTGTCAAATCATTTTCGGCTCGGGAGTGACAGGTCAGCCTCTTCGTTTCAGGCCAGGAGCTGGAGGAGCTGGCACGTGGCGCTGGATTCTCCGATGCTCAGCACTACGAAATAAGCGGCGGCCTCATGGGCAACTTGGTGGCCACCCGCTAGCCAAGGTAACGCCTGGAAAATTGTATATCGGTTCATTTTTACGTGCCCAGTCGCGAAAAAATCTTGGTTTCTATGCTATTTCTGGTTCTCGTGGGGGGCAGTGTTGCCCCCCACGAGTTTCGTAAGAAGGAAATAGGTCAAAGCAGGATTCTTGAGGGTAAAAGGAATAGTAGTCGAACAGTCAGGAACTATTTTGCCAAAATCCAGGCAATGAAAGCAGCCTCTCAAGATCGATGGGCCGGCTTCGGAAACTACGAAGCAGTTTGCAGGGTCGAGAAGCCCGGAGGACGGGTGTGAGCAGGCAGTTGGTCGAGAAGGAACGGGTCCGGTCCACCATAAGTCAGTCCCACGACGCGTCAGCACGAGGTAAAAGAACCTTTTGGTTGACTTTTTTTCCGTGGTCATTCGCAGCCGACCCTTTTGGATCTTCTCGGCGTTTCTATTCCGGGAGAGAGAGAGAGCGGGTCAATCCAAGCCGTCCACAGAATGAAACCGTGAATGTGTATGATTATATTTTATGACCCCAGAAGAACGAATCCATCGCTCCAGAGTTCTTGCAGTGCCCCCCTGGTATCTACCTAGAGTATCGTATAGAGAGATGGATACGTGGCCAGGGAAAGGCAGAATGTGAGAGAGGGAGGGAGGGAGAGAGAGAGACAGAGAGACAGAGACAGAGACAGAGAGGGGGTCAATCCATGCATACACTCCACATTACAAAACCTGGTGTTTCCATCGTACAGTATAGAGAGATGGATGCGTAGACAGAGAAAGACAGAAAGTCAGAGAGAGAGAGAGAGAGAGAGAGCAGATGATGGGGTCAGACGTGAGAGGGGGTGGCGTCGGTGGTGGGGGCGAGTCTCCTCCTCCTCCCCCTCTCCCCCTTGGAGTTCTCGGCGAACTTGATGGTGTTGAGGTGGAGGCCCCTGGCCTTCTCCTCGGCGCTCCACTCCGCCGCGTAGTAGTTCTCCTCGGTGGCGTCCTCCTTGGACGAGGGCCCGAAGAGCATCCCTCCCCACATGGGGAAGTAGATGAGCATGATGGGGAGAGTGCAGCAGAGGATCATGATCCCCATGTACGTGATCCCGTCCTCCTTGGTGTATCTGGTTCCCTTGAAGAAGAGCAGCTGCGTGATCACCGCCCCGACGTTCCCCCCGCCGCCGGTCATCCCCGAGACCAGCCCCAGAGACCTGCGCACACGAATCAAGTCCAGTCCATTCGTAGTTAGGTCAGAACAACACACACACACACACACGCACACAACGAGAGAGAAGGCCTTTTTTTTCACCGGCAGTAAGGGGGGAAGTTGCCGGCGAAGAGGAGAAGGCTGGGGAGGAAGAGCTGCGTTTATGGTTTGAGTTAAAAGTTGTTACCTCCTGGAGATGAAGGGGACGACCCCGAAGGCGAGGCCGCAGGCGGCCTGTACGAAGACGGAGAAGACGATCATGACGAAGATGGCGAGGCTGAGGGAGCTGGTCTTGCCGAGCCAGATGCAGAGGACGCCGCCCAGGGTCTGGACGATCCACCAGCCCCAGAGCCTCCCCCTCATCCCGAACCTGGCGGCGAGGAAGTCGGAGAGGAAGCCCCCCCCGGGCCTGGACACGATGTTGGCCATGCCGAAGCTGGCGGCGATGATCCCCGCCGTCCGCAGGTTGAGGTCGAACCTGTCGTAGAAATACTCGGCGATGACGTTGTCGATGGCCAGCTCCACCCCGAAGCAGTAGCCGTAGCAGAGCGCGGTGATCCAGCCGCGGTAGTTCTTGGCGGCGTTGGCGAAGACCCTGGAGAAGCTGTCCTTGGTCTTCTCGCCGGTCTCCATGAGGTCGCGGTAATTGCCGTCGGGAAGGTCCTGGCCGAGGATCATGACGCCGAGGGCGGAGACGGTCTGCATCACGCCGGGGATGAAGAAGGCGATGCGCCAGGCGGTGAACTTGGTGCTGCCCATGTGCTTGATCAGTTCGAAGACCAGCGGCATGATCAGCTGGGTGGCGCCGCCGCCGAGGTTGCCCCATCCGGCGGCCACTCCGTTGGCGACGCCCACCTTGGTGGGGTTGAACATGGAGCTCATCCAGAACTGGCAGGAGACGAAACTGGCGAGGGAGAACCCGGTGAGGAACCGCACCAGGAAGTAGGAGAAAGGCGAATTGATGCAGGCGGTGAAGAAGACGGGGGGGGTGGTGATGAGGATGAGGGACGAGGAGGCGAGGCGGGGCCCCACGAGGTCGCAGGCGCTGCCCATGACGAGCCTGGCGAAGACAGCCCCGGAGACGGAAGCGATCCCGGCGTTGCCGATGTCGGTGGAGGTGAGGTTGAGGTTGTCGCGGATGATGGGGAGGAGCGGCGGGGCCGCGAAGGTGGAGACGAAGCAGGAGAAGAAGGAGAACCAGGAGAGGTGGAAGGTGCGCATGTGAGGCGCCGCGAACGAGAAGAGGCGGAACTCGGTCGCCTTGTTCTCCGAGTCCACCGCCAGCGCGAACTTGCGCGGCGGCGCGACATCGGAGTTCACGTTGTCGCCGTGTTCTATGCTCAGAGACCCCATCTTCTATTCCTCCGTCCCCCTTTGCCCCCTTCCTTCGTCTTCTACAGTATCGTCTCCGTCCTGCAGGCAGAGAGAGAGAGAGAGAGATAGAGAGAGGAGGAAAAGGGTAGATGTAGATGGAGAGAGAAGGGGTGCACAGAGCTTGGAGATTCTTTGCCGGGGCCTCTGCACGAGAGGAATGGGAGCGTTGACAAATGTGGAATTGTTGGCCGAGATATCACTCTCGTTTGACCCCCCAGGCGTTCTTCTTGGTGGCTCCTCCCCTCCGGAGGATCGATCCCTCCCCGCGGCACTGAAGGGGCAGACTCCGCGGCTACCCGGGGAGTTCTCCCCTCTGCGACCCCCACTGGGGGAGGACGGAGCTGCTCCTCATCGTGGTCGGCAAAGTCTCACGAGGCCATTCCCGTCCTTTCAACTTCCCCCTGCCACAAGATCCCGGGTTTGACTTTTTGGGTTTGTTTAATGAGGTATATGCGATTCTGTTTCCTAGAGGGGACCCCTTCCATCGCCGCCGTCGGCTCGAACGGCGGCTCTTCATATCACGGCGAGGACGACCGTGCCAGGCGGTCCTCCGCGGCCACGTCTGGACAAATTGACGCTCCGAGACATGACGCTGGGCATTGCGTCGAATAGATTGTCGCTCGGGTGCCCTCCAATCATAGGTGCAGCTTACAAGAGTCATGAATTTCTTGATAGAGTGTGCGAGTATAAGCTAGATCGGGGACATAAACGAGGGGGAATAAGCGAATGAGTCGTCGTAAGAAGATGCGGAAGGAGCAGCAGTCCCTCTTTCCGTCCCACGTGGCCGCGGAAGCTGGAGGCCCCCCGCCATGGTCGTGATATGATCAGACACCGCGAGAGGAGACTCCACCCCGTAGAAGAGAGCAGGGGCACAGGAAGTTGGCTCAACTTTGGTGTGGATGAAGTATACGAGGAAATGGGTTGAAGAATCGTACTGCGAGCTCGTTGATCACCGAATAATGTGTACTGCTAATGGCGAGAAGGATGTTGCGAACGAAAATGGTGACCGATTTGAACTAATTTTCTTTTCTTCGGTGTAAATTTTAAAGTTTGTAAGAATTCTGTGATTAACATTCATAAGTTCTACTATTAAGATGTTATGGCGTTAACCATGATGATTTTAAGTCAATGTTGAAAGCTCTTGTAAGCGTGCTGGTAGATGCATAAGAAATATTTCAACGTCTACAATATTATTACAGTGACCACTTTGAGACAAGAGCAAATAATAGGCGATGGATGAAGCAATTGAGTAAGAAAACCACTCAAGTTATTGTCATGATGTATGCACAAATAAAAAAGGTCAAAGTTGAATCACCATTTTTGGGAAAATGGGGAATTTCACTAATTCCAACAATGTATTCATTGGTCAAACAAAACTTTTTCAACTCGTTTCAATGATGAATTTAGAGTTTAGCCTAGAATTTTATGGAAACATGACGAATGAATAGTTGATTCCCAGGATGACAATAAAACATTTAATTCATCTAATCAATAATAGTTCCATTATTAAAATCATGACAATTCAAGTAGTTGGTGCTAGTTGGTAGTTGGAATGAGTCGTGCAGCCAATCAACTTAAAATAGAACTTAAGTCAACATGTCACATATGGGAAGTATAAGGTTATGGTAGCTTTTGGACAAACCATAATGCCATGGTCCCTAAGTGCTTCTTTTTCTTTGTTGTGATGCTTCACGTTTATTGGTGCAAAGGACCATAGTGGCAGCAAGAAAGATAAGATGACTCACATCGTAATGGTGGATGTATAGGTTATTAGATTTCAGGAACCTTGGATGAACTTTGAAATGGAAAAGACATGATGGTAAAAACATACAATATAGGATGAGGTACAATTTTAAGATAAAAATCAAAAAAGTAAAATGAAAGTATCACATATTTCAATATATGAAATTTACATGATTGTATAATATATCAGGCTTTGCAATTCATTGTAGACTATGTCGATACATGAGAAACTATATTACACATTGATTGATATTATTAAGGTTAATATTTCAATATAATGAAATTATTTTGAGGAACACAAGTATCAAAATTTAAGAGTGGCATATAAATAACTCAATATATAAATTTCAATATTTCAGTATATGATAACTTTTTTATAACATAACACAACATATGAAGTGGAATATCTTAGTCAATGGTACTTTAGGAAATACATCAAACGTAGTAGTGGTATGCAACTAATTCAAAATATCAAACATAATATTTGAGTATAGAGATACAAGTTAGTAGACGAAGTTGTCTTTTAGGCATCTAGTGGACCTAACATATTTGAGATTGAAAACAGGATGCCAACTAAGCTCAATAACTTATGTGGCCTCACGAGAAGTCACTGAGCACTGAGGAACAATTTGATAATTTGCTCAATAAAAAGATTGAGTATTAGGTTTGGGATCAGGGGATGATTGAGGGGCATCAAGTG